AGCAACGCCCACTCTGGCCCTGCGAGTCGACATGGAGGCCACCATGTGCCACCGATCCGTCCGCGTGTCATAGGCCTCACAGTCCCCGTGGATGGCGAACAGGCTCCCTCCACCTGCGCACGGGACGGCAAACAGAGCAAACAACAGCCCACGGCGCTGGGAAGGGGTCTGCGTGTACGTGAGCGCATGGCGGGGCCTTACCCACAGCAAAGAGCACAGTGCTGGCCCCCTCACAGCGCCGTGGCCTCGTCCTGCTGTTGCTAAGGACCCCTCTCTGCTCCGGCATGAGGTGGTACTTGAGGGCTTCGATCAGCAGGTCCTTGCACTCCGAGTGATGCCGCACCAGCAGCTCCGTGTCCACGTTGCTCATGAGGAAGTCCCGGCTCAGCAGGGGCAGCCGCACGCACTTCATCAGCTGAGGGGAGAGGACCCCGGCAAGGCTGGCTCCACTCGGAGATGTCGTCCTGCCCGCTCGACAGGACCGGCACCCGGTGGCAAAGGGCACCAAAGCACATGCAGCAATTCAGCCTTAATGTCTCCACAGAGCCAGGAGCACTCAGCCTGGTCGTGACAGATCCCACAGCCACCCCAGATCTCCAGAGGTCCTCTGCTGGTACCCGCATCCTCTTCCAGCACTCATGCTACAAGCAACAATCCTCCCTGCGGGGCTGCAGACCCCAAACACCACCCCCTCTGCCCAGCATGCCCCATGCCGCCTGCATCGCCCACAGGAGGGATGTGTGAGTGTACACCACAGCAAAGATGGAGACAGAACTTCTCCAGGGTCAAGCCCTGGGGTAGGTAGAAACCCACGAGAAACCCTCAGAGAGAGTCATCCTCATCCTGCCCCATCTCGGTCCCAGCCTTCGGGAGGACACGTAGGGATGCTTCCTCCCACCCGCTGCCTGCCTGGAAGCACGAGGGCGGCGAGGTGACAGGAAGCCGGGGCTGCTGGAGGCTCCCACAGCCTCTGCTGCAGTGCGAGGATGCCCCCGTGAGAGGGTGCCCACGCTGTGCCAAGCACTGGCAGCCCCACAGGAAAGGGCTTGACCATGTCTTCTCCAGTTGTACCTTTGGCAGGCAGGAGGCTCGCAGATCCATGCTCCAAGGTGTGGATGCGGAGAGACAAAAGAAGTCCCTGCTCAAATTTGCCTGAGGTTTTTGTTTGAGGATGCACACAAAAGCTCAGGAAGGCTGCAGGCAGGGCTGCCCTCTCCTGCTGCCCACACCCTCCCCAGAGTCCATGTGCCCAAGCTGCCAGGGGTCAGACAGGGCATCCCCCTCGGATTTGTCAATAGTTTGGACTTGACTCTGGGAGGCTGAACTCTCTCAGCAACAACACCCTCATCTATGCCTGGACTGGAAGTGGTACGGCAGGGACCTGCTGTCCCTGCCCTCTGGCCACCCTGCGGCTTCCTTCGGCTGCGTATCCACCCAGACCAGGCACTCAGAGCTGGTGGGTGGAACCAGGCCACCTTCCCCAGCAGACTCACCCTGGGGACATGCTGTCTTCTGCTGTCCACATCATGTTTGACCCAGCTGAGCACAGCCCGGTACACCTCCTCCTCTGATGGCACATTAAGGCTGTCACTAGAAATGAGGTCCAGCACCTGCAGAGTGGGGTGGAAAGGGCAAACGTCGGTTGGTATGGTTTGGGACACGTTCACACACCCAGGTAATTGGCCCAGCAGAACAGCACTGCCAGAGGTAGAGCCCCTGCCTTCTGTAGATGCTGGTGGTTGAGGGGTGTACAACTACTCTCTCTCACTGGATGTAGAAGGATCCAAAGAGCAACCAGGTCCCCCAAACCAGGCAGGTGTAGCCACCTTGCGGCACTGGTGTGGAGACAGCTTTGCCCTCAATTATCCTCCTTGTCTCATTCCCTCCCTTCTGTGTCTGAAGGTGCTGCAATGCATGACATTTCCAATCAACACCAGTGAGATCAGGCAGACGGCTCTGCTTGTACGAGTCCCTTCAGTATTTCATGGGATAGAGCCAGCTGTGTGACCAGGGCAGCCAGGACGTATTCCTTGGCCTGCGCTCCAAGAGAGAGGGCAGTGTGCTCAGAGCTCACGTGGCAAGCACCAGTGACAGCAATTATCCTCTGGGCTACCCTCTCATCCCTATTTCACATGGGATTAAGCTCACTTTCTGACAGCACTCTTCCCACCCACTGTCTCTCCACTGAACAGAGAGGACCAAAGCATGGAATCTGTGTACATTCCCCTGCCAAACCCTGTCCCTGCAGTGCAGGTCTTGGGCTTTTGGCACACAGACTGTGCCTTTCCAGACGAAAAGCCTTGCCACACTCATACCTTCACACTCCCATCAGGACCTCACCTGTTTAAGAGGCAGCAACATGAACTCCTCTGTCTTGGACACCTCCACGAAGTGTTGGAGGACATACTTGTGTGCAGACTTGAGGAGGTCGCTGCAGGAGTGTGTGTCAGCAAAACCCCGGATCCCCAGGCAGTTGGATGGGTCGAGCTGGCTGAGTAGGAACTTGCAGCAAGCATCCCGCACACCATTGAGCTGAAGCAGGCTGGCAGCAGGAAGAAGTGTCTGGCAGTGGAAAAGAATGGGGGAAAAGAGAGTTTCCAGGGCAAGGAAACTATTTTCACCCTCGTCTCACCACAAGTCAGTAACAGAACAAGCGTACTGAGCACCTTCAGGCACAAAAGCCCATAGAGGACAAAGCAGTGTTTGTTTCCAAGAAGACTAAGCTACAGAAGAGCGGGGAAGACACCTGCGTAACTCCCCACAGGGCCAGGAAATGGCAGACGCTCAGGACTAGACCTGGCCATTGCATGGTGCTTTGAGGAGCCATTCCCAGCCACAGCAGTTGCAGGAGCCACACCTCTGGGTGCAGGGGAGCAGATGAATTCCCTGACCACTGCTAGATGCAGTGCCACCACAGAACAACAGCTGAAAGTGTTGAGCAGAGGGAGAAGAGCCCACAGGAGGCAAGTCTCATACAAAATGGCTTTGTGGAGAAGGGAGATTTGGGGGAAAGCTCCTACCTGCACATTGCCCTCGCCCACCACAATCTCAGCCGTGTAAGCGTATTGCACCAGCTGCTCCAGGGCCTGTGGGTCAATGTCGTGCAGCGTCACATGGGTCTGGCGGCTCTCACTCATCTCATCTGGGGCAACACAGATACTAGACATGAACAAAGTCCCACAGAAGGATTGATTCCCTGCAGAAAGACTTCACCATGCAAGGAACAAGCCACATCCACCTCCACAGCCCAGCAACACAGCCAAGGAAGGTCTCCTGCTCACCTCTTAGCAAGGAGGAGCAGCAGTATACTCTAGGGAATGTCTGTGGGATGGGCATCAAAATACCTGTGCCAGGAGTTACAGGCAAAGGGCTTCATGGAAGGGAGCCAAATGAGGAACACTACTGCACTTGCTGACAGAGATGGTATAGAGGCCTCATATTTCCATAGGGTAGGGCAGTGAGAATAGGGAACAGGACAGAAAGGGAAGGCATTTGCAGGAAGGAGAGAGTTTTGAAGAGCAGGGACACCCTGGCCATGGGGAAGAGAGGACACTACTTGCTTGTGAACATGGCGTGGAAGTACGGGCTGCAGGACGCCAGCACCACCTTGTGGGCCTTGATCTCCTTGGTGCCCACATGGAGCACGATGTCACAGAGCAGCCCACGCTGGCGCATGCGGTTCATGCACACGAAGGCGTCGTGATAGTGCCGCTTCGAGTTGTGGGAGATGCTGTGGCCATCGCGGTTGAGGAGCTGCACGCCTCCTTCCATGGCTGCAGGTGGGAGATGGTGGGCTTTCCCTTCTCACCAGCACTGACATGGGGAAAAACCAAAGCGTTACGCAGGCAGGAATAGCTCTATCCCTGGACAATTCCCATAGCCCCCAAGTATGCCCGCCACTGCCCAAAGACCCAGCGCACCAGCAGATCCTGTCTAACCAGCCCATGCTAGGGAAACATCATCCCGCTCGTAAACCAGCGACAGGGAGGAGACAGTCCCTGGACACAAGCAATGCTGAGAGTCTTCCCTGTTCTGTGACACTCACTGCTTCCCAGCTGTGTTCATCTCTGGATCGATATCCTCCTTACCTGCCTTCAGAAGGGTACTGCTCTACAACACATGCGCTCACACTGGTTTTCCTTGGAGCTGCACCATCTCCAAATCAGCCTAACAAGGCACATTTCCATGCAATATCAGCAGAAGCATTGATCTTAGAAGTCTCACCAGGGCACGCCAGTCCCACATTGATCAAACACAGCTTGAACAGACTACCAGAGACAGCGAATGTGACCACCCTGATTAGCCTAAACAAACAATAACCAGGGAATCCCATATCCTAAAAGGCAAGAGCGATGTTAGGGACCACAGCTCTTCAAGCGGTGGCTGTTCCCTTCCAGCTTCCAGAAGATGCTAGAGATTTGTAATGCATACATCTGCCTTCAGTTAAGCTCAAAGACCTGCTGTCTTTCCTGTGCCCACACAATTCAGGAGGATAAGGCAGAGGGCAAAGGCGATTGTAGCACAAAGCTCTACAGTCCCAGTACAGAATCCTGCAGACCAGGGGTTCGACTCTTCCTGCCATTTGGTGTTTCAGGCCTCTTTTCACACAGAGGCTGGGGATTCCCAGGTGGTCAGTTAGGGAATAGCAAACGTACTTTAACATCCTGGTCTCCACCTCCCTGCAGTGTCCTCCAACCTCGCCACAGCCTCAAGGCTGCACCAAACAGGGCTGCTCCAGCACCGCAGACCGGGCTCCAGAACCGCAGCTCCTGCACTAGCCCAGCAGGCAGTTTGGGCAAAGCAGAGCTCCTAGATCTCCCTGGAAGCAAGAGGTTAACTTTGAACTTCAGGTAGTTTTGGTTTGACAGGAGGGACAGACAGCAAAGAACAGAGATGCTGATCAGGTAGCTGGGACCTGATGCAAAACTCACTCTGCACGTACACACCACTGAGCGTGGAGCAGGACAGTCCTTCCATACAGTCTGAGACAGCCCAGGCAGGAGTATAAACTTGATTGGCTTGGAGAAAACAAAGATTGCCTAACGAAGGAATAAGGGCATTTACTTGTGCAAAGACGTTTTCTCTTTTCATGCTGTCTGCATCTAGGCTGCTCACGGCGTTTCGAAAAGCATTTGACTGTCGCCCTGCCAGCAGCACCCAAAGGAAAGGTGGTGGAGTAAAGAGAGAATGACTGAGCAGCAGGAGGAAGAAGGGGGAGGGAACACGAGAAAAAGGCAGCTTGAAGAAAAAAAGCCCGTGTGCTGCACTCGTGTGCCTGCCCCCGCATCCCTGCGGCGAGAGAATCCCTTCAGCCTCTGTGCTCCTCACGACACCTACACGTCGCCAGCCGTGCTGAGCCTAAAAATAGAAACCCACCACGCCGTGCCTGCTCAGCCACGAATGCAGCCATCTATTCATTTTTAAATAGCAATTGTATCATGTACTAGAGTCTGGGGGAGGAAAAAAGATGAATAAACATCTTTCCTGAGCAGGAGAGAAGCCTGCAATGCCCTCTTCCATTTGCATCATCCTGCGTGGTATGAGATTCCTCATCTCACTGTCAGCGGAGAAGATTCATGGGCATACAACAAAAGCCTGTTGAAGCTTTCCAGCAATGAGAGTAAGATGCCGTTGTGCCCTTGACAGGGAAGAAGAGCCCATGAGTTAACTGGCCTTCTCCTCCCACACTCCTCAGCTGAGCTTTTCAAAGCGCTGCAACATCCCTAGGACACTCTTGGTGTCTTAATTCACATGGACACTGCTGGATGAGAGGTGCCCACACGAAGGCAGTTTGTAATTATTAGCACCTCTACCTGGGCTCAAGAGGTCCTTTCCCAGACCTGGTTTAGTGGCAGAGAGCAGACAGTGCTTTCTCACCTTTATTCCCCTCCCTAGCTGCAAGCCTGAGGGTTTTCTTGATCTGCTCGAGCTGGTTTATCTTTTTAATACGCTGCTGCGCAGACTTCTCCCCATCAGTATTTAAGTCATGCCCCAGCTCTAATCGACAGCACTCGCCTCGCCCCTCCTGGGTGCTGGTAGCATGAGATGGGAGCTCCCAGCTCCGCAGCAGTGGGACAACCCAGGAGGAACAACACAGGACAGAGGAGCAGGGAGAAGATGGGACTGTTTCCCCCTTGTGCTCTTGGAGACTTGTGAGGAAAGGTTTGCCACGCCGGTGAGGTGGGGACTGGCACACAGCTCGGCTCCAGCGGTCAGGGGAGAGACGCGGAGGGCACAACAGACTGAAGGTTGCTGTAGCTGATGCATTGGCACCACAGTAATCAAACGCATTTCCAAAGAGGGTCAGAAGTGCTGGGCTCTCTTCCCAGCCCTGCCACTGAGTCATTGCACGACGCTAGGCAAGTACAAATACAGAGTGTGACAAGGGTGACATTATCTTTCCTTGCAATGATTCCCATGGCCGAGAGGTAGAAATCAGCTATTGCTCACCCCCCTCTCCACCCACATCCCCCTGCTGTCACCAGCGAGGGCTGGCACGCACCTCACAGAGCTCTGAAGAGCTTGCCTGAAACACCACCGGTGCCTCCCTCGCCCACGTCGCGGCGCAGCACCCTGAGCTACAACCACCGCTGGATCACGCGGTCTCTGACGTGACTGAGCAGGGAGCGGGGCAGAGCGAGACGCCATCCCAGCCGCCACACCGCCACTGGGCTCCCAAGAGCATCCCCACTCCTGGGGACCGTCTGCAGCTGACCCGACCCACGGGCAGCCTGAACCAGCTCCACTTGATGGTTTTTCACTACGGCCACGCTACAGCCTCAGCAATCCCTCCACTGAGGAGCAGCTCACGCACCCACCAGCCACTTTGGGAAAAGGTAACCATCCTGAAGCACAGGGAGCGCTGGCATGGGTCTGCAGTGGGTACAGCCTCTTCAATCCCACTTCCTCGAGTCCCCGCCACTCTGCAATAACTTGTTCCCATCAGAGCTCTTTTGCTTTAACGGGTCAGAGTATAATCAGTGGGGGAAAAGGGAAAGGACACTCCCCTGCTGCTTGTGCTGCTCCCTGTGCCTGAACTCTCAGCCTCACTTGGCAGCACTAAATATTCCTTATTTCCTTGTAAGACTTCATTCCCAGGAAACGAAGGTCTACGAGCGCTGCTAAGATATAATTAATGAGGAACAGTGCCCGGACCACAAGAGACAGTAAAGCAGTGTCCAGAGCTCCGGCGGGGGGAAGTAAATACAAGCCCACTCTTGTGGAGCGTGCAGCAGCGCGAATGCACGTGTTACGCATCAGCTATAATGGATGCGGTGGCTGACTTGTAATAACTCTTAGGTTATGACAAAAAAAAAAGGCGGCGTTTGTTTGGCTCCTATGCGACAGAGCGTGGCCATGCATAACAGCTCTGTTAATTAATGCAAATGATCCCTGCCCAAAGGGAGGTCTGTTCTCTTTGCACAAAAAAACATATTTTGCCGGGAATGAAAAGAAGCGTGCTGAGCAATAAACAGGGAACAGAGTATCCTCCAGGGAAAAGTTCAGAGCCTGCCCTTTCCCCAGGAAGGCCCTGGAGAATGGCTTTTTGTTGACAGCCTGGATGGAGGTTTTGTGTCCACCAGGCCAGCTAGGACACCGCGAAGACACATCCTGTGCAGCTGGTCAGATGTTGGGGACAAGTCTTTGCTTCGGGTAAGGTGACATCCCCTACTCTAAGGCATGACATGCCCTAAGGCCTGACACGCAATCATGCTTAAATCCCCCACCTCCCCGTGTGCCCTACCCCATTCGATATGCCTGTACCTCTTTTCTGGTAAATGAGCTACAAAGCCCCGTTCTGCGCGCAGCACTGCCGTTAGACCTTCAGCTTAAGACATTAAGTCCTTGCTGACACCCACCTCTACCCCAGCGCGTCACGGCACAAACGGAGCCGAGAGCAGCACAAACGAGGTCGACAGGGCGGCACCGTGTTGCCCGTTTCCCTTTCAGGGGAGCGGTTCCCCCTTCCTTGGTGCTGGGGGTCCGTCTCCCAGGCACAAAGTCCTTTTTTTGCCGGCAGACCTCCGGCTGTGCCCCGCGGCAGGAGGGGGCTGGCGGCCGCCGGGCTCCGCTGGCGCAAGGCATGGCTGGCCGCGGAGCCAAAGCAGCGGCTTCCGCAACAGCACAGCAAAACTCATCCTGGGGCAGAGCAACACCACGGATCCCGGGACAGAAGGAGCTTGACATTGGAGTCACAGGCAGGAATTGCTGCTTCCAAGCGCATCTCCATCTCCCCTGCACCAGAAATCAGAATTCTTATTTTTAACCCCTCTGAGAGGAGTCGCGGGCCATTTGCCAGCAAGCAGCATTCATTCCCCCGAAGAACCGAGACGTGAAACACACCGTTAAAGCTCGGGGCAGCGGGCGTGCACACAAGCGCAAGTAGCTGCTTTCCTCCTGGGAGCAGGGCTGGGAAGAAGATGTGCTCCTGTGTTCCTGCAGACTCTTCCTTCCCTTCAACAGTCAAGGGACACCAGCAGCTGCGCCGGCAGCAACAATAGCTGCCGTTGTGCTGTTGCGAAGTACGACCACTAACACAGCTCGTACCAGCATCCCGAGGTGCAGCTGCGTACACTGCAGGCCTGCACATTTCCACCGTCCTCACTGCTTTGCAGAGGCCCCGTTAATTTGGCTGAGCTATCCCTTTTCTTGAACCCCGTCCATGGCTCTCAAGCACACATCTAAAGAGAAGCTTTAAACTACCAGGTGACTAGCAGCATTTTTGCATCAGTAATCCTCTTGCAGTAGATATGTCTAAGACAACAGGGCTCT